CAAGCTATCATAATCTTCGGGGCGGAACTAATTCACGAGACGCTCAACGTTGCTATTTAAGACGCGCACCACTCTACCGTTGTATTTATATGGGCTCTGCGCGAGCTGCCAGGTGAGCTGCTGTGAAACACCGGTCGAAAAGCCGGTGAAAATAGCTAAAATCGAGAAAACAGCACAAACTTTGAAGACATCCTAAACAACCAAATTTAAATATGTTGCATATGTAGAGGTAATCTTGTTACACTGTTCAGGGGGGTGTCAACAACCATCCCAAAATACCGTTTTCTGAAAATTTGTTGTCGGGTGTGTTTAAACCGAAGACGAAAAACAAAGAACGAAGACAGAATATTCATACTGTTTAATCATAACAGTTTAATACATTTACATGCACTCATCGTTCATACTGTTTAATCATAACGTATATATTCTTCGTTCTTCGGTTTAAGCACACCCTCTGTTTTCACCATGATGGTTGCCAGGTGAAAATGCCTGACCCGAGAATAAATGTCGCTGCACACAGTGGTAGCTGTGTTGGCTTAGATGTCGAGGCGCTTTCTGGCAGTCATTGTAACAAAGCTTTCTATTGGTCGGTAAACTTTCTATCGCGCAACCACGTGACATACACGGTTATGAATAGAATTACCGCACGGTGTTGTAGAGGGAGGAATGTCCGAACGGAACAACACCGTGCAGGCGGACGATGGCCGTCCGTAGGCCATCGTTGAAGCAACAACGTCCCTTTTGTCCTTTTTACAAACAGATTAATTAATTTCATCGATTTCTTTACAGATTAATCCTCAACAAAACTTAGAAACATCACATAAAAAATACAGGCTCTAAAATTAGTCTAATGCAAACCAAATCAACCGACACCACATCTTTTTGTTGGAGCCTGAAGTCTACGCGTGTTTTTATTGCGTTCAAAAATGTTTCATTTCAAACTGCGCATGCACACACACTGTGGTTTCTCGAAATGCATACTAATTAGGTAACTTGTCACTGATAAAAGTTACTGCAAAACATTTGAAGCAATTTTGAGCAATAGCACTAGAGTGAAATATCAACGTGCCTCTGCATTCTCCATGAATTTCGTAACTTGCTATGATCACGATAAGGAAAAAACGAGATATTACACAATTCACAACATATATGCATATAGGAATGAATTGTGTAATATCGATTAGTATACCCGACTTCGGCGTGAGGGTTATTACTTAAATATAGTAATAGTCACTGCTCTTTACGTTTGGATAATCGCCTCGTGCTACTAAAAACTAGTATAAATGACATACCTTTCCTCCGTTTTTGGTTTTAAAATGCTAAAACGTCTACAAATTGTATGGTATCATACAACTGTATTCTACCATTGACTCTATTGGCGCTCAATGAAAATGCCCTCGTGCGTGTTCCGGATATGAAAATGTTCTGTCTCCAGCAATTAGTGTGTCAAGCACTCTGCGAACTCTATATTTGACAGTTGCAAAATGTACGACAACTAATTATTTCAAATATTTTGTTCATGTTACAGTCACAGAGTTCTGCCATAGCAACGCCAGTGGCGACCCATTTTCTTTACACAACAGTATGGCGCCAAATCAACAAAACATTAAATGTTTTCAAAGGAGTGCATGGGATGTTATGTCACAGTCACCTGACTTTATTGACGGCAATAACCCTCCACGTCATGTATTGGACACCACACCAGACTTTATTATTGTAAAATCCTCCCCGCTGAGAATTGTATTGGTGCTCGATGTTTCGGGTAGTATGAGTTCTGTGAGTAATGGCGACATATTAATAATTATCATTTCACTTGAATATTAATATTGTACTAAGCTACTCAATCCAACATGATTCTTTCAAAGTAAATGATTTCTAATCTTGGTTAATGAACGGTATCTTGACTCTGTTCATTACAGAATAATCGAATTGGTATTTTGGAATCACTTGCTACCAAGTTCATTAAGTACACTGTTCCAGATGGACATTTCGTTGGAATTGTTGAGTTTGGATCGGGAGCAACTATCAAGTCATATCTAACAGAACTTGGGTCGAACTACACACGCGAGTATTTATCCAATCTAGTGCCGTCATATACCAGTGGCTCAACATGTATTGGGTGCGGGCTACAGAGCGGAATACAGGTAATAATCACAATATCCATAAGCTGTGTTGACATTGGAAAGACTTTAAAAATAGCAGTGTATATATAATACATTGACTACATGAATATGTTAATTGTGTAGGGAAGTTATGGATTTTAATGTGAAGGCAAGATAAGGAAAATGCAAATAAATACTTTGAATTTTGAATGTTTTTAGGTTTTGGAAGATGGTGGTAAAAGTGCTAGAGGTGGTATTCTCCTTCTCATTACCGACGGGCAAGAAAATGAATCCCCCTACATTGATACTGTGAAACCGGATTTGATCAGCAAAGGTGTGGCTGTTGATACTATTGCACTTAGTTCAAATGCGGACGATAAGCTGGCCACATTATCTAATGATACACGTGGATTATCTTACTGGGAATCTGAAGACCAGCAGTCTACTGCCCTCAATGATGCAATAACTGCAACTATTTCAACTCGACTCGGAAAAAGCCAGTCTGTCCCAATTCAGGTGCGTATTATCTGTAACTTGCTGTTCATTTCACACGATTAATAACGTATTTTGTACAACTAATAATGTGTCAAATATGGTTAATCAGTTGTATCTGCATGAAACATAGTATGTTCACACTCGTTACACAGTACAAAGCGCAATACTTCAACATTTTGGACTGTTCATTTCATATCAACTTACTTTTATTTCCACAACAGCTAGTTTCTAGTAAAGCTGCAATAGTTGGTGGTCGAAAAGACACCAACTCTGTGGAAATCGATTCAACAGTCGGGAAAGATACTGTCTTCTTCTTCCTTTGGTCCACCTCAGTCATTTCTGTCATCCTTACAAGACCGGATGGAAATATTATTGATGATACCTCATCGGAATACACAAGCGATGTTACTAAAAAATCAGTTGTGATTGCAATTTCTGGAATAGCTATGGTATGATTCCATATACAACAAATAACGTATCTTTAATTTTATCTATCTGTCTTTCTGTAATGATGAACGTGTTGGTAATGACGTATTCAACAATTTAACACTATGCATATGTAACTATCTCTAACTACCAGAACCTAACAATACACACAAATTGGTATGATATTGTTAGACCTATAGTCAGTGATCCATATTGTGTTGCCATGCATATGATTAAGTAACATAAAGCTTTGTCTGCCTTATAGTCAGGAACGTGGTATTATGAAATACACTCAACCCACTCACAGACGGTTGAAGTGGCGATACAGTCAGAGGCTAGGGACGGCGTTGAACCAATACATATCTTTTCCAGACTAAGTGACGTGCTCATCACAGATACACCACCCAATGCTGCCATATATGTACAAGTTACCCAGGGTTACAGTCCTATATTACACGCTAATGTGACCGCGACAGTGGAGAGACCAACACCCCATGCACCAGTGCAAGTACAATTATATGACAATGGATCAGGTACTGCAACATAGCGGTTTATTACGTTTGACAGCATTATATCTTTAAATATGACATTACGTCTACAATTTCCTGTTTTTGTTTTCTCCTCAAAGGAATTGACTCTACAAAGAATGATGGTGTATACTCGCGACAATTCGTCGAATTCGTCTCGGCTACTTGTCCTAATTGCAGGTATAATGTCAAAATAAAAGTTGAAGCTCGGAATGGGTTGGCATCTATACCAATTTCAGCATCGAATAGTGGGAGGGCTCTCTCAATACGACCACGTAAGTATCGTATCACCGTAAAAATCCGATTTACATAACTGAATAATACATTTATTTATGGTGTTGTTTATTGCACATTCCACGTTGCTCTTGCAATTTGTTGTGTTCGCTCATAGCTGGACCAAAAGAAGAAAGCAATATTACGGTCCCTATTGATGATTTCGATCGTGTGGATACTGGTGGTGCAATCCAAGCTCCAGTAACTGTCAGTGATGATGATGAATTCCCACCATCGAGAATTGCCGATCTACGAGTCACTGGGACATCGTATGATGACCAGACTATTACATTAGAATGGACGGCACCTGGAAATGATTTAGACAAAGGGACAGGTAAATAATTATTAGAATCGATTATAACATTTTTGGGAAATTGCGTTACAAATTACTGAAATATTAAACTATAATATCTTTGAATGGCATATTAAGCAAAATCTATGTGTACTAGATTGTTAAGGCTTATTGACAATGTGATAATCTAACAATAATCTAGATCATTCACAATAAAGAAGTAATTTAAAAAAAATGATAAGTTTATGCAAGTGATATTTAAACTCCGTTTAGTCTGTAAATTGTACTGAATATACATGATAACAAAGCAAATAGTAGTTTGTCTGTTTCGGAAGAGTGCCCATGAACATGTATATATAACCTAATGACGGGACACAGTTCGTAAACTTACACACGGCGAGTATTTACCATATAATACTATAATGTAGTATAATAATATGCTGTAATGCACAAATTACAAACTATTTGTACGTAAAAACGCAACACATAATTTGAGCGCATTGCCACGGCATCTCACTACGTCATTCTGATTGGTTAAATACAAATATATTTGTTATTTCAGCTGATGGTTATGACCTGAGATACAGTAGAAACTTCGTCACGTTTTCACGCGAGTTTATAACCGGCGAAGAGTTAACCGATAACCATGTCATTGAGGGCACCCTGTCATCGCCAAGCCCATTCGGTACGACGGAGACAGTAACGGTACAACTGCCAGCTACCTATGAAAACATAACATATTTCTTCGCAATCCGTGCATTCGACGCTGCTAATAATACAGCTGCTCCTTCCAATATTATATCTACGGCCATAGTGGTTTCTACGCGAAGCGACGATGATTTTACAACAGAAAGCTATTTCATTACTACTGCGGATGACGTGGATATTATAGCCCCGACTGAACCCGAATCGGAATCAATATCAACAACAATCATCGTTGCGGCGTCGGTAGTGGGGGCGGTGGTATTGCTGTTGTATAGTGTGTGTGTCCTGGTAATGGCTAAATATGTCTGCGTCCGTCCCAAATCAGCCATTGCCCCAGAACAACCGACAGATTTCCAGATGTCGTATGTTAATACAGGTGTATAGCACTATCATCACGACACAATGAGTGTACAACATATATAAAAAATAACAAAAGAATAATAACGTTTTAACAATAAATCTTGAAGCTTACCGTACTATATCATCTAATGACACCCACAATGTGTGTTTCTTACCTGAACTATTCACTGTATGCATAAACACGGTCCATATGTGCATATGTACAATCCTCTGTATTGAATAATTAGCTATTTATTAAAGAAGCAATAACAACTAATAAACAGTGAAAAAATAAAACTGAAACATTTTACAGATAAAATAAACAACATGAAATCCTTTGAACATTTCAAAAAAAATACCAAAAAAGAAAATTATATTAAGAATTCCCATGATCATCATGGCATATCATGTTAAGAGTAGGTTTAACTCACTGGATTTAGAAGGAAACAAACTACCATAGGTAAATTACAAAGGAAATAAAATTTGTGTCATGATGGCATAGAAGATGTATATCATTTTCTATTTTTATGCAATGCAACATTTCACTTAAGAAATAAAATTTACGCCGATTTGATCAAAATACTTTCGAATATTAAGGAAGGCCAGACAAAAAAATGCCTTCTTTCAGAGGAGGGGGGATTTTACATTTAATTTGCTTTTTTTTTTGGTGACATTCCATAGAATATGAATTATGAATTTGGAGGATTGTTAAAGTTAGTGCACATGTATGTCTCAATTTCATACATTTGCACACCAAGTATTTTTTTTTTGATTCGCCAAAGTTTGGCATAACGCATACGCGGTTCCAGTCTGGGTGGAAATCACTGTCATTTTCGGTGAGGATATTGTATCCCGGGATTGTATCTTTCTTTGCGCAACGCTTATATAGACAATTTCAAAGGTACGAAACTGTGCTTATTATGGTATTTATACACTTTGATTTATCGTTTGTGGCTTTGTGTCCAGCTTTAGTGATCGTGAGAACTTTGCCAGAAAAATAGCCTTTCTATTATTGTAAGAACTGATTATGTAACGTGTGAATTGAAAGATTACCCCGTCATTTAAGAGGCTTGAAGTGTTCTCTCCATGGACAATGTCGAAAATACATTCGTTGTGCATTAATATATTAACATTGGACATGAACATATCGAATATATTTTATAGTCGGGGCGGATCGACCAATCTGTTTTGGACCGGAACGTCCAAACCAGGGCCGGATCGTCTTTTATTTACCGGATCGTCCTGACACCACCTTACCGATAACAGCACGGCGTTAAAAAATGTCAAACATTGCTGCTAATGATGATTCATGGTGTAACTTATCACCACGTGACCATTTATGCCGTCACTCTCCCTCAATATCTCCACGTGTGTTTTTACATGCCATTCCACTCGCATGTTTATGTAAACAAATTGTTGTTTTGTTTCGTTACACCATTTACCTGACCGAATTTGATACGTGTAGAAAAGTTGACAAATTAAGATGAAATTACGTGATCCTACTAATGGAATGTATTTTGGAATAATCATTCTGGCCATAGCGCCTATTGGAGGACTGAACCTTCCGGCAATCGACATATATTTATAGAACATCGTATTCTCCACCGTTCACGTATCGTTAAACCTGGGAAATTGGTTCATAACTTGTGAATACTCTTGAATAATCTTGGTGTGAAATGGAATGGTTGCATTTCTTCTTACCTTTGAAATAGGTGTTGGCTGTGTCTTTCCACTTAGAGGGGCTGGAATCATGAATAACCTTTATACTGAGTTGAAGAATACCCTCAGTTTGGACTCGGATTTTAATCCTATCAGACAGATCAGCAGTACCTCAGTACTTGTTTTATTAAAACAAGAATGATCGTGGTTGCTGTACAGGTATCTTTGAATGTAGCTGAGACGCATAGAGTCGATGCGCGTTGGGAGGTGCATAACATTTTGCCTATCCCTTACCAAGGGGAGATACAGTGTTTGACATCAACCCAATGTCGGCCTTGCCAAAAGAATTCAATCAAAATTCTCTGTACCTTCAGAACTAAATCAATAGGCGGTGTAAGGCAGTACAAGAACTATAGCGAAATCAGGTTATTAATGACGCGCCCTCTATACAACATGTTATGAACGGAGTGATTTCTAAAGTTGATTATCTTTTCACGTTTGACACAAGTTCAGCCCATGTCTGATAAGTAGAAATGTGGCTGTTCCCGAGATAAACACCCAACAGATATTGAGTGGAGAGTAAGTGTTGTTGCGCCAGCTACCAGCCCTTCTGATTTTTGAAGATTTACTCGCTCGCTTATAAACTTGTAACTAGTGAGCTGAACTAAAATCTTGTTTTTACGTGTTCTACTTCGTCAGCATAATTAATAAGTTTACAATAAGTTGTTTATTGCTGTGTGGTATGATCAATCGAATATTGTCTGGAGTACTGCTTCAATGGCTATAACGTAGAGAGCAGTTGACATTGAGCAGCCTTGTAGAATACCCCTAGTTTGGTCTGGGTGAACAATAGTGCCCATGACCTCGCGCAGTCGCAGTGCAAGCGTTTTTGTGAAGATTTTATAATTACTGCATAACAAACTCACATGTCGCCAGTATTTTTGGTTGGTGGCATCACCTTTTCCTGAGTGACATCTGTTCTTGTACAAGATATGGCAGCAGTGAAAATACTTCACACAGATCTCTCCCAATAATATGATAAACGTTTGGTAGAATTCGTTTGGTGTCCTATTAATACTGGGTGTAATACCGCGTGGCAGCAGTGTTACAGTAGAACTCAGTTTCACTGAGCTGTGGTAGGGCTTCAAAATATTAAATATCCCTCCCATTATGACTGGGTCGTTGTTTGAATTACTAATAAACTGTTCAAGCTTGCTGCCAATACAAATTGAAATATTGCCAGCATTAAGTATTACATCTTGTTCAGCATACCTTTTTTCCGACAGTATGCCCATTGTCTCTGTTTATAAATAGGACAATGAAGTAGAATTCAAATCTCCACTATATACCTTGAAAATTTAAGATGATTTGTCCCCTCCCCGCACCGATTCTTTTGTCAGTTAAGTTTTCAAGTAAATTATTCTAAACGTCCATACTGTGTAGTTATAATTATGATAACCAATATGTTAATTTCAAGCTGAGTGATTCTACATCTTATGTTGGCGCTACAAAATACGCAGCGAGGTTCAATCAGAGATTTATTTAGCGATGTATGAAATTGTCAAGCTCTTATCAATTTGATTTCTAATATGTACTGTACGTATGTACTATTGGGTTTGATATGTATAGAACAAAACTGAGCTACGAGGTCTGACCAAAGATAAAATGTCGAGGCCAATTTATGCAAATTTTTATCTTTGATTAGACAATTACACAACTGCCCAAATTACACAACTGAGCATTTTAGGTAATCCCCTCAGATGCTTATATATTAGCATATGTTACTGAAGCAAACTGAACTATACATAAGCGTATCTATGTCAGTGAACATATAGACAATGTAACTATATCGATTTTTTTTTTTGTAAAACGTGTCCCAGTTGGATAAAATGGACAGAATATGTCGTAGCCGTAAATAATTAAAACCTCCATTTAAGATCAACTCGAATGTCACTGGATTATTGAACTTCTTGTTCTGTTTTCATTACGTAATTATCATGTTTTATAATCCACAAAAAGTGGCATGTTACAGAACCCCCTCCCACAGCAACAATGCTGGAAATTATTTATTCACGGCGCCGATGTTGTTCTGATTGGGCAATGTGCTATTGTAAATCAATAAGTATATGTTGTGTTACTCAAGTATGTATTTTCTCATTCAAAAATTGGAAACATTGCCAATATAAACAATACAGTGACGTACTGACATATATTGTGATAACGTATGAAGAACTTTGGTACTGATAAGAAAATAACTTTGATCACAGCATACAATACGAACAGTTGCCAACATTTCTGTTCTTATACTCGTTGCTAAGACATTGAGTAAATAAACACTTCACTGCAATCTTTTATTACTAACCTTCAAGATAGAAGCATACATAAACAATTATGCAATAAATTACTTAATTGGTAATGTGATGATTTGCTTTATGATAGTAAGACTCTGAGTATTATGTAGGCGAATTGTTTACGACAGTGGTTATTACGATGTTTATACATTAATGGATATCTACGTTAGAGTTAATACAGAAATAAATTTACTAACTACGATGCATTCCAATGTACTACCATATTTGAGTGTACACACGCCACTACAGTGTTACATTATATAAGGTGTACATATGTTGTCGCATGTAGACACATATACGTTATATCATTCATGAGGCCAGATGCACAACATATGTGTTTACGCGTAAAAAAAAACACGAGAGAAATAATCCATTGTCATGATATCACGATATATTATACTGAAGCGGGTTTAAAGTTAGAATAAATACTTGTTCAACCAAGTTTTTGGTAAAGGTCCACACGTTGGGACACCAGCTACGGTTATTAACCTATTATTGACGGAAAGTCGTATATTTTAAACATTAGTCACGACTCTGTGCGTATCTACACATCTAGATAATAAAGTAATAAATGTTTAGGTATATTTCACCATATTGTCATGGCTACGGGCTGTATAACATAGACACTCTCAAGGCGAACATGGTCAAAACGCCATATACGCTGTGTCCGATCATCATTCGTTAATATGACTGGACAAATGTTTCAAATTATTTTCGCGTTCATGTGTATTACTGCTACCATTTTGTCTACCGGTGCATTTGCAATCAATATACGTACACCCATAAAACTGGACAATAACGGATATACTGGTTTGTTGATAGCGATCCATGAACGGGTGCCAGAAGACTTAGCAATATTAGACAGGCTTCAAGTAAGTTCCTATTTTTATTTACTTGGTGGCTTGTTTGGTAATAACACTATAGGTTTGAACTTGAGTAATAACACAACACAGTTGTCGAATACTGTCCATTTTCAGTAGTGGGAACGATCTTTTTGTAATTTAACAAGACAAATATATAAAAAATATGGGGATGTATTCAGATACGTAAATGCGTAAATGCTTTTTATCCATTTCCCGCTAATACTGTCATACGTCATTCTAGCTCATGCTTACTCTACCCGCAGGTGATATTCACAGATGCCTCGAAATTCTTGTACGAGGCGAGTCGCCACTACACTTATATTCACGACGTCACCATCCTCCTTCCAGAAACATGGAGTGACAACCCATTTTACGAGCGTGCTACGTGGGAGACGTTCGACATTGCCAATGTATTAGTGGACGAGGAGAATCCCCAATGGGCGCACAATCCCTACACAAAACAAACTCTTCCTTGTGGAAAACCCGGAGAGTATATTCATATCACACCAAAATGGATTACTGATGTCGATTTCAGTACATACTTCTGGGGAGATTCAGGTACGTTCATTTACACTCAGTTAGACACGGTAAATTATGTGCCACTCTTAAGAAGAAAGAACGAATAAGAATTTTGTTTAGTTTTACAAAATATTAGTGAATAAATAAAGGTTTGGTTTTTCTCCTTTTTATATATTTCGTAAAAAACTAACACATAAGGATCAATACAATGTGGAATTAAAAACAAACAAAAAATATTGCAGCCATTACCAACAAACAATTGTAATCATAAATAGAATGGCACTCGACGTAAAATAGTGACGTATTGACTGTGCTATACACGTTTCAAATTACGAGACAGTACTGTTCATCGTATACCGCGATGTACTTGTATGGAGTAAATATCGAAGTCTCTATGTTAACGAAGCGACACATATGACATGTTTTCAACTACGCTTTAAACATACAATCGTTCGAGAATTCCCCGTCTGTGGGAATATATATAGTTAACAGTGTTTGCACTGTATAGTCGAGTAGCACTCAACCACTGGACAAAGAGTGTATCCGTCACGAGAACCCTACTTCAAATGTTTTTCTTGTCGCAAACAAGTCTGAGGGCCTACATGTCATTGTGCACATCACACGTAAATATGTTTATAGCTTAATGAACTAAAGTGTCCTGAGATTCAAAGTTCATGGCAATACAAGGTAAAAACGTACAAGGAGGTAGTTCATATATGTCGCTTAAAAGCAGGACATGACGTTATAGACCTACTTATGGTAGATTTTACAGTGATCCCAGCGTAGTGCTGCTTTACCAATATAATTTATTTTCGAACCATTGATGTAATTACAATTAGCAATGTCACATGACATGGCCTATACTACAACACGTATTTTCTCTCTATTTCGTTGTATTTGTGCCTAATTAATGAGGACGTGATTATAAATATCTCTCTATTTAGTTTAAATAATATGATTTAATGAGGTCATGTGACATGTCGACGTTGTCTAAAGAATAACTAAACCCTTCAAGTCCGATAGAAATATTGGTAGAAGTAATATATATTATAAACTTTACTTTTGATTTCTTACACACTCATAATTCATTTTTGTCAAATATTTATCAGAATGAGTACACGTCAGTGGTTATACAGTCTCAGACCCACATTTGACCTCGGCGTATTCGGTCCTACACATCTTTGCGTGGCAATGTGAGTCCCTTC